GCTATTCCGACAGGCGCCGACGGCATTTAAAATGACGTCAGATACCAGTTGGCATGCCGTCTTGGTTGTACTTTCATCAGTTCTTTGTCCAATGGAAATTCAACAACTTGAGTCGTACTGACGTCTGACATGTCAGTACGGGCCTTCCATGTCGGCACGTACAGACTAACATGTCAACGCGTCATGTCGGTCAAGTTGTTTCCCAACTGGTGGAGATCGTGGGACCTGGCGTTGGTTGGAATGAAGCTGGCAACATTGGTAATGCCACCAGACTTCTGTTCATCTGGAAGCTCATAGAAGGTCTGGATCTGGGCGCTAGTGGCACTGGTGCTGGTGCTAGGCTTCTAGTCTTTCGGTCCGCCTATTTGATGATTGAGGTGCCTTCGGTGTTCTGCCTTCTGACTTTTGGTAGGGCTTTGGTGCCCATTGAGGTAACATCGAACCTTTCCTTCTGAAACACTTCATGGCCAGGTTGTTTTGAGTTTGTCTTGCCTCGTTTTGCCTCTTGGTGCCTTTGGTCCCACTGGGGCAATGAAGGTTGTTTGGTGGAGGCTAAGTTTACGGAAAAGGGTTCTAGTGGGGTGAATGGTTTAAAATATCCGGGTAGTATGCCTGAGACATTTCAACCTATCCACAATTTCTCCAGTCGATATCGGGGTGTCTACGGCTACGCACTGCACCAAAAACTAAGTACAATGAGAAATGAGCAAGGTTAACTAAGGCGTTCCCCAGAAGCGACGCACCACACCACCCCTCGATTGTGGTAAAAAATAGGCAAGGGTTCCAACGAAATTCTCGACGAGCACAGGTAAAGAAGCTAATCCAAGATAATAAGATTTGCCTAGCAATATGGAATGGAGGAGAGCTTACAAGAGTATGGAGTTAGCGGATAATATGACATGGAGAGTAAACATAGCTTGTCTACAAGAAACGAAGTGGAAAGAGGAAAAAGCTAAGGAAATAGATGGGTATAAACTTTGGTATACAGGAAAGGATAATAATGAAAATGGCATCAGCATAATAGCAAGCAAGGATTTAAAAGATAACATAGTTATTTTCAAGAGAGTAGGTGATAGACTCCTATTAATTAAACTTGTATTAAGGGAAGAGATAATTAATGTAATTAGTGCTTATGCACCACAAGTAGGACGAGAGGATAGAATTAAGAGACACTTTTGGGAGGACATAGATGGATTAGTCCAAGACGTACCAAATGGAGAGATGACCTTTTTAAGATGGCACTCAAATGGACATATATGGAGGGATAGTAGAGGATATGTAGGGGCATATGGGGGATATGGATTTGGTGAAAGAAATGAGATGGGTGAGGCAATTCTAGATTTTGCTATAACCTACGAACTAGCAATAACAAACATTTACTTTAAAAAGCGAGATAAACATTTAATAACTTATAAAAGTGGATCAAATAAAAGCCAAACAGACTTCTTCCTAGTTAAGAAGGCAGATCAACCATTATGTAAAGATCGTAAGGTTATCCCAAACGAGAATTTGACTGCACAACATAAGATCGTGGTTAGGGATGTCTACTTAAAGACATGAAAGAGAACGGGTGAAATCAATAGGTTCAAGAACTAGGTGGTGGAATTTAAAAATGAGAAAATAGACTTACTTAAGGATAAATTAGTTAAAGAAGGAAAATACAAATTTGAACATGAGATCAATGTTATGTGGAATGAGATGCCTAACTGTATTAAGAAAGAGGCAAAAGAAGTTTTATGAAAAACTAGAAGGAAAAGAAATTGCGATAAGGAAACTTGGCGGTGAAATGATGAAGTGCAGAAGGCCATTAGCGAAAAACGATCATGTCATAGACCTTGGTAATATAACAAAAATGATCAAAACTTAGAAGAATACAATAATACTAAAAAAAAAGCTAAACAAATAGTAAGCAAGAATAAACTTAAGGCATATGATAATCTATACCGTAAATGGGGAACAAGAAAAAGTGAAAAAAAATTTCTTCCAATTTGCAAAAAATGAGAGAGAAAACGTGTAGGGACAGACTATATTAAATGCATTAAGAGTGAAGATCAAAGGGTCCTAGTGAAGGATGAAGAGATCAACGATAGGTGGAGAGCTTCTTTTCAAAAATTATTAATGACGAACACAATAGGAACATAGCAATAGAAGGAACCATTGGCATAAATGAGAGCGGTGGTCATAGATACATTCGTAGGATTAGGATATCAGAAGTAAAAGAAGCTTTGAAGAGGATGAAGATAGGAAAGGCTTTAGGACCAAATGGTATCCCGATAGCGGTTTGGAAGTCCATGGGAGAGATTAGCATTGATTGGCTAACCAAGTTGTTCAACGTGATGTTCAGAACAAAGAAAATACCAGACAAATGGAGGAAAAATACTATGGAAACTTATTTGCAATCACAAAGGAGACATAGAAAATTATGCGAACTATATAGAAAACAATTTATGAGCCATCTAGAATGCTATGGCAGAGATTGATTGAGCAACAACTAAGGGAAGTCAATAATTGAGACTATTTTCTTACTTAGGCAACTAATTGAGAAGTTTAATGCGAAGGAAAAATACATCCATATGCCTTTATCAATTTATAGAAAGCTTATGATAGAATACCTCGATATTTAATTTGGTGGGTATTGGAAAAGAAATGAGTCCAGACACTACATCCACATGGTGAGAGATATGTATAAGGGAGCACTAACTAATGTGCGAACAACTAATGAAGAGACGGGTGAGTTTTCAGTAACAATAGGTCTACATCAAGGGTCAGTATTGAGCCCATACCTCTGTCTTACCCATTGACGACATAACTAGACCTATAAGATGAGATATTGTGATGTATGTTGTTCGCGGACGACACAGTTTTGATCGATAGACCCAAAACGTCGTCAACACAAAGAACTTCGGAGGGATGCTCTAAAATCTAAAGGCTTTAAAATTAGTCGGATTAAGGTAGAGTATATGGAATGCAAGTTTAGTAATAATAAGAGTACAAATGTGGAAGTAGTTAATATTGACAGTCAAGACGTACCAAAAAGAGCGCACTTTTGATATCTAGGGTCGATAATCAAAAAAATGGAGAGATTAAGAAAGATGTCACACATAGAATTAGAATTGGGTGGGCATAGTAGAGATGTGCAACCAGAGTTTTACATGATCTCCGCACACGAATGAAGTTGAAAGGCAAATTCTATAAGACAACTGTGAAACTAGCTTTGCTTTATGGGGTGGAATGTTGAGTCGTCAAGAAACAACATACCCATAGAATGAGTGTAGTTGAGATGGATTAATAGCAAGACAAGATGGGAAAGAATTCGAAATGAATACATTTGGGAGAACTCAAGTATGCCTCCAATAGGTGATAAGATGAGATAAAGTGAACTCAGGTGGGCTAGCCATGTGCAACGCAGACCCAATACATCTCTTGTTAGAAGGTGCAAGTTGGTTCAAGTAGAAGTCTCAAAAAGGGCAAGGGGTAGGCCCAAAATGACATGGTTGGAAGTAGTGAAAAAAGTTATGAGGACTTATGGCCTCATTGAGGGTACGGTCCTTGATAGAGCAAAAACGGACCAGGATTCGTGTAGCCAACCCCAACTAGTTATTAAAAGGCTCTGATGATGATGATTCTTTTTTTTCAAGGATCTTGAACTTGGGGCCAAAATGAAAGATTTGCAAATGTATTAGTCCTTAATCATCCACAAGAGGCACCACACTTTTTATGTGGATGCACTTGCCATAATTGCTTCACCTTTTTCTAAAGGTTCCTTTCTTTCCCAAGATCCTCAAAACAATGAACAAAATTTCAAAACTTCTTTGGACAAGGTTTGCAAGGAATACAACTTTTTCTTGTCATGAGGATTCTTTTTTAGACTAAAATAAATACTGGAAAAATCCTTCCTCTTCTACAAGTGAAGGAACCAATCCAGGTTTATTAACATGAATTACATACATAACACCATGGCCACGAATACTAGAAAGTTTCAAATGACATCAAGGTGAACCTAAGAATGCCACAAGAAAAGCTAAACAAGGTATATTTTTCAGGTAGAAAATTCCTAAGAGGAATGAAGCCATGATAGTCACAATGGAAGATGTGATACTTGAATCAGAGGGTTACAGGGACCAATTTCTTGAGCCCAATAGCAAAAAAGCCACAAAGAAAGTGGCATAGGGGTAGAATGTGTTATGATCGTTTAATACACCATTACATGTCTAGGTGGTTTTATCAAAGGGGAGCTGTGCTTAATATAACAATTTGAATTTTGAACACCTTCTAAACATTCATGGAGACCATAGCATGCTTTTGGGAGGGATGAGGGGCCCACGTCTTCATGAATCAAGAGAGCCACTTTTGAGCAGGAATGAGTGGAGAACCCATGGACCACCAACCTAATTTCTACAAACACTATAAAGAAAGTGATGCCCATTTCAACAATTATAACCGTTACAAGGATTCACCCTAATCAGATAACTTATGGAGTACTAAGAACTACCGCTTCAAGTCATCTGGCTAGCCCATGACTCAAGGGCATCAAAAACAAGCAAGCCACAGCAGATCTAGATTGACCCATGGACAACCTCTACAGAATTCTCAAACTCAATTAATAAGCATCCAAGAAATAGGGCTTGGGCTTGATGGCTAGCAGTTGACGTCAAGCAATGCTACATCCCAAGTTCCATTCCTACCACTGAACTACCCAAAAATAAACAAAAAGAAATAAAAATAAGCATCCAATTACAATATTATCTAATTGGATGATTTTTGGCATTCATTTAAGGAAACCTACTCGCGTGAGATAAGCTTCCAAACCACTAAATTACAGATATAAGGTTCAAGTCTTGATGTATGTGAATAAATGCAGATTGTCAGTATCTAGCATTCAATGAAAGGGTTAAACGATTAACCAAAACATGAATCGAAAAGGTGGAACAAGAAAAAGATAAATCGCAAAGAGGAAGATATAAAACACGAAAATTGTAACATTTCGAAAGCATGCTTACCTTCATTGTCATCATTATCACTGCCTCTGGATTAACATGAAGAAACTTATGAGCAAACCCAAGAAAATGCACAACCATGGAGCTATAAAAAGGATAATTTGACACCACATACCCCTGCCACCAACTCGTATATGCACCACTAGAATCAGCCCTTCCCTTACTCTTCTCTCCAACATCTGAAACGTCAGATTTATCCCAACTATGATTCTTCCATGGTTCCAAGTAGCAAACCCACAGCTCAAAACCTTCAGCAGCCTTCTTCATATTAGTCCCTATTGGACAAAACTGAAATGCCCTTAATATCATTCTATACAAGGGCCTTTGAACCAGCAAACCAAATGAGCTAGAATCCTCCAATCTAGAGCTCTGAGCATATTCCAAACAACCCATCTCTTCTTTACATATCCATAAGCTAGAATTCAAATACATTACCAGTACTTTAACCACCTCTCCCAGTCCAGCACAAGGAGGAGACTCCAAAAGAGCATTTCGAAATGGTAATGAAACCCAAAATGACCGGCAAAACTTTACAGATAAAGGAGAAAAGTCATTGTCGACAAGCCAATAATGTATCAGCGTGTGAACAAAAAAATCGGCTCTTTGACTAACTTGGGCATCTTCCTTTGAGGAATAATGCAAGAGAGAGGAGGTTCGACCTGGGTGCATAATTGTAGAACCGTAATTTGGCACAAAAGCTTGCAGATACGAGCAAAGAAGTCGAGAATATAGGTCAGAATTCATTGCCTTCTGCCCTGATCTCCGGTTACTATGAAAAACAGGCAAAGAAGAAGCCCACCTCTCAAGCCTAGCCCTAATCACCTTCCTGTTCACAACTTTGTTATCCCTATCATCCCCCTTTGCTTTGCATACAGGGTAATAAGCAAACCAAAAAATATAATACTCGAAAACATTCAATTGAACCTGGTAAACCCCTTTGATGCTTTCTTTTTGAACCCGATTCTTCAAAAGTGGAAGTGAATCGAACAAATTTATGTCAGAATTCAACAAGAAACGTATCCACTCAGGCAAGCGTTCAGTGGGGAAAACATACTTGATAAGAGAGTGTCTATCAATAGAATGGATGGACGAGATTAACCGACCAGAAGGAGAAAGAAGATCAAATATTTTAGTACAAAGGGGCTCTTCATTAGTGAACTGAGAGATCCATGGTGAAGTGTCATGGAACCCAAAGAGCTTGCAAAGGAGAGTAGGGAAAACTTGGGCATAGAAGGTCCGAGACTGGTCCGTGGAGTACTTTGAGAGGAAACTTTCAATTGCTGAGATTGAAGCGAGTATCTGAGGAGGTGAACATGAACGGAGGAGGAGTGACGAGAGGTCCTGAGCTTCATGATGAGAATCCATGGCAATAGATGGAGTGAACATAGCATGAGATGACTATAGTTTCCAGTGAAATTCAGGTCCTACACTAAAAAATTAGGGCTCTTGCTCAAGATTACGGTTTCCAAACAATCAGTGATCTTCTGAGGTTCCGACGGACAAAAGAGCTAGACAAAATGTATGTGCAGGATTAGGGTTTGAAGCTCAAAGAATGCAAGGATTGAGGGAACATAAAATAGGAAATTTAGGGTTTGAAGAGGAACTCGGTTCCTATTCCAAAAACTAAGATTCCAGTTACAGATTAACGTTCCGATGGAATCTCAAGATCGAGAATAACAAAGCTTACGGTTCAAGGTTGAGGTTCAGAGCTTCGATGAATAAACTCCTTTTGAAGCGAGTATAGTTTCTGAAAATTGGGCCTATGATGATCGATATACTGCAGATGATAGAAAAATTGCACAGCAACACTGAGACTTTGACATGAAAAATAGGTTTTCGAATAACAAGCAGAATTGAGCAGCAGGAGAATGAGGATTTCCGGAAAAAGCTAGGGTTTCCGGAATTATTGGTGGTTCGATTGAGATTAGGTTTTTAAAGAGCAGAAATTAAGATTGCGCAGGAGTAGACTGTAAAATGTAGAGAGAGAGAGAGAGAGAGAAAGGTAAGAGAAAGAAGAAACGAAAGAGAAGAGACAAATAAAGGAGAATAGGATGAAAGAGAGAGAGAGAGAGAGAGAGAGAGTAGTTAGTTAGTAGTAGAGGTAGGGACGGACGGACGGGCGTCGGCCGCCGTACGTACTACGCGACGTCGCGACGTGTGTGTGACGTCGACGCGCGTACGGTGTTAGTTAAGT